TTCAGATCCACTCCTTTCTCCCATTCTTTGTTCATAAGGCCAACATTTTGATATGTCGTAATACACTTTCCGCAGACAGGTCATCCAAGTAAAAAATGGTCCCTAGCAAATATGGAGCTTTAAATAAAATCTCATAGCTCTCTCCCAGCCTTATTATCAGTCATTAGTTTTCTTAAAATGATCAATGCAGAGCAATAGAGAATCAATGTGAGTTTATATTTAAGAAGAGTTGAGATTTAAGTAAAATCCACAGGGTGAGTTTTGGTAAAGTAGTGTGTCACGTTTGTGTTATAATTATAACATGGATTAAAGAATCAATAGACATTTTAAAGAACGAATAAGTTGTAGGACCAAAAGGGGATATTGAAGAGTTCTGAAGGTTCAAAAGATGGAAGTAGTTGAGTTACTTAAAAAAAAAGTCATCATTTATAATGCTACTTTGGCAGACAATGGAAGTACAAACTCACTTGAGGCTCCAGATCTGCCTTGTACTACTAAAAATAAGCAAGGAAATCATTTTAGAGGTGTATTGCATTTTAAAGAATAAAATATACTAATGACAAACCAGTGTTAGGTTTTGTAAAAGTTAAACTGGTTTTCTTATCTCTTAGAATTTGCTGAGCTGGAAAAAATAGAAAATACAGGAGAATCAGTGGGTATAATGAGCTGGATTTACCACTGCTTAACTTCAGTACCAGCTGAGTTACTCCTGCATAAGACTGAAGTAAAGCATTATTAAATCAGACCGAATATGTTTAGGAGTGCTGAAAGAATAATTCACAACTAACAATTTACTAAGAAAATGTAGCTGATTTTCCTGATCCAGATCAGCAGCCAGGAGAGCATGATTTCATTAAGATTTAACAATTTTTTATTCATTTTTAACTATATTGCTTCCTTATAGCCAGTTCCATGTCTGAATTCCATATTCAAGTTAAGATAGCAGTGAAAATGACTGGAAGTGCAGGAATAACTTATGTAGGAGAAGAGGTTTTAAAAGGGCACTGAAGGAGCATTGAAGCAGAATTGCAAGAATAGGTATTGTTGACCTTTTTGGCCCAAGTAGTCAGGGCCGTCCCACAACATTTTGGCACCTGAGGCGGGGAGTTCAAATGACGCCCCTATACCAGCTTTTCTCCTGCCTCCATGTTATGTCTCTTATGCCCTCCTTCCTCCAGCACAGCACTCCACCATCTCTGTGCATCTAGAGCAGAGAGAATACATATGCACCAGCAGCAGACAAATTTTCTACACTCTTGGTCCTAGTGGTGCCCCCCCTCCTCCCCCAGTCTGGCACCTGAGGCGGCCGCCTCAGTTTGCCTCATGGGAAGGCCAGCCCTGTAAGTAGTTAGGCAATATTTGGGGCATTGAGCATTTCTTCCACTAGGAGAAGTTGATACAAATCTGACATTCCTTTAGGTCCGATCTGTTTATTTTCAAAGAATGTGCAAAGACCTGTTTATCTGAACACAGTAGGATCAAACAAGAGGCAATTTCCATGCTCACAATACTTCCAGCCCTTGCTCTGTCCAGGATGCTCTTTCCTGTGATGCTCTCTCAGGGCTATCCTATCAGTGGTCCTTTCTGTGTGTCTTGGCTTTTCTGGCTGTGTGTACTGCTGAAACGTAGGCTATGTCTAGACTGCCGAGAAAAGTCAGAAAAAGATACACAAGAGGGCATGGGCTTCTGGGTGCAGGAGGGTCCTCAGGATGGGAAGAGGCTCAAGGTAGGCCAGGAGCTTTGGACGTGGGGATGGTGAGGAGGGGCCACTTTCCCCTGGCTGTGGCAGCTTGATGCTGGATCAGGTGAAGTGGGGCTCCCATCCACTTCCCCAGCAGCTTCAAGACCTGGGAAGAAATATCTCTCCCCCCGCAGCCCTGATCCCCTACTCAGTGCTTAGTGGGAAGCTGCGTGGCCATGCAGATTAAGGGGAACTGAGGTGGCTAGCACACACATGAGCCTCAGTGAGGTTTATGCTTGAATGAATATCCAAAAAATGACTGCTTATAGCCTCCAATATTGACCAGCATAACAGTATAACTCATGTGCACACAAAGATTAATTGTACAGAGGAATGTAATTGGTGATTATTATCCACCCTCTATTCTAATACTGTACTAAAACAAAGGGGACACAGAAATAACATAACGCATTTTAAATGAATTAAGAGTGCAGTTTTAACTAACCGCTATATAATCAACCTGTGTTACTTGCTGCTATTTGAAGTAAATAACATTGCATTTTTAAGCATTATAGCTTCCTAGGAATAAGAATAGCAGATGCAAGTTAAACTAATTTAGGTAATTTATTAAAAGGGCTGTCAATCCTTATGCTCCAGGGCATAAATTTCTCTTCTGCTGTGGTCAGCAAGAAATTTCCATTTGTGAGATAGAATTGAATATATAAGTGGATTGTTGGATTTTTTTTTTTTTTTTGCCTTTGTTTGAACCATCAAATATAGGCTGCTTTCTGGAAAGAGGTTGCTGGAATAAATTCATCTGAGTTGTTTTTCCCCCAGAATGGCAATTCCTATATGTGAGTAATTGGACTTGAACTCCTCCAAAAAGGAGAATGGGGTGGGGGAGGGTTGTCCTTGCACTAGTCTAGTCTTTTTTTTTAAGCATGTGTATATGTGCCGTTCTCCCTTCTGACCTCATCACTGCTGTAGACAGAGTCAGTGCAGAGGGCAACCGTTACACAGATCTCAGTTTCTTACAATACTTGTTTTGCTGAATTACTGTAGAATGTTAGCCCTCTGGGTCCTGGGAAAATAAATAAAAGGGAGAGTGTGTGCGAAAGGGAAGAAGTTGTTACTGGCTAACTTGAAATGCAGCCAGGGAGAGGCTTAATAAAAAGTGGCTCAAAACCCCATGCTACCACACAGTTCCCAGATTCACCTATGCAGTTGATCTTTAAATATAAAAACTTACCTGATATTTTTGGAGTTTGATTGGCTGAATCTCAGACTACACTTCTGTGCATTTGATACATTCAAAAGGGGGAGAAGAATACAAACACAAATCTTTGGCTGATTTTGCTTTATTAATTTGTAGCTTCAGATATATCATTAATTGGATTTGGCTAGCAGAATTCCAGCATTCCTAACCTTTCAAATGCTTCAAGATTCAGTTTCAAAGTTCATTCAGTAAAGTTTTGTTTATCCCTGGTGTTTACCTGGGAAAAAGCAGGAAACATGGCATGGTGACATTTGAAAATGGGACTTGGTATTGCAACAAGATATTTCATTTATAACACGCTATGTGACACAATCCCATAACTTCTTGGCTTAATGTCAAAGATTCAGTTTATTGTATGTGTGTGTCCCAAACGTCATGACAACTGCTCTGCTAAGAGCAGGAGGAATAATACAAAAAATGTGTGCACGTTACTCTGAATAATAAAATTATGAAATGCCTTCTGTTTGTGATAGCTTTTATTTTACTTCCACCCGCAGTCATGTTAGCAAACGTCTTGACCTATTCACAGAGAAGCGTGTCACAAATATGCAGCCAAATATGTACCCGTGACCGTTTTCACACACAGATTATTTGTAAAGCCATTGTGACCATTCTGAGGGTTTGGAAATCATCTAAACCAAATGCCATAATGTGACTTAGGTGACCAATTACAATGTGAACAGTAAAATACTTTTACTGAATAGTCAAAGAAACAGGTGAATAGGTTATAAACAATACAGAGTTTGAAATATGTTTGCACAAACTATTTATTGTATAATTTCATTTTGCAATACATACAAATTGGAGTTTTTCCTCCAGA